CCCCAGCCTGAACCACAGCTGCGTCTGCGCTTCCCACTTCACTGCAAAGGAGAAGACAGAGGGGGAAGGGAAGGGAACCCCCTTTCCGGCGGCCGGGGGGGTCCCAGGGGGGGGGTGATGGGTGAGGAAGGGGCTTCAGGGCTGAGGACCAGAGGGCAGGGTGGGGGGGACACAGAAATCCCCTCTCCAATGGGAGATGCTCAGAGGGGCAAACCCTGCGGCCCCTTCGGGCTCTTCCCAGAGCAGCTCTGGCCAATCTTCCCGGGCAGATCCCCACGGAAATCTGTTCTCCCTGGGCAGATCCCCATGGAAATCTGTTCTCCAGGGGACATGGTGGCTGTTGTGTGTCCTGGAGCGGTGCTCCCTGGGGAGGAGCTGCTCCCCCAGCTCCCACACTCGCCCCACAGTGGTGAGTTCGGCTGAAAAATCTACAAATCCGGGAGGGAAGGGAGAGGTTTCAAGAAGAGAAGGGGCAACCGTGACCCTCCTGCTGCACAGGGTTAAAACGGAGGGATCATCGGGGCTGTTCTCCCTCCAGCACAGCCATTCCCACCGGGACAGCACTGAGGGGTCCAGGGAGGGGTGAAACCCGCTGGGTTTTGCTCAAGGCTGAAGCCACCCAGGGCTCAGGAGTCCCGGGCAGGCACAAAGGAGCAGTCAGTGCTGCAGCTGACAGGTCACAGCAGCACCAGCCAGGTCCTCCAACCTTCTCCTCTGTTTTCCCAACCAGATTTGGGACCCGTATCATGAAGGCTGAAAGTGAGAAACACTCATACTCTGGAAAGCAGAGCAGAAGCCACCGAGGCTGTGGCACCTGGGTGTCAGCCACAGGCAGGGACAAGGCACCAGGTTACACCCAACCCGTCATCACTACTAAAACTTCTTCAGAACGTCCCTGGAAAGACATTTTCCTGCACCACTTCGCTCATTTTCAAAGGAACCCAACCCCACACATGGAATTCTGGGTTTAAATCTCTGATGGAGGGCAAGCAGACAGCACTGGCCTCCCCCAGCCCTGTGCTCACCCCGGCACAGGGATTTCACACCAACCTTCATCCAGATGCAGCACCAGGAGTCGGTCCTGCCCCGGCTCCACCACGTGTCCATGGATGTGCATCAGGGGCTGGAGGGCAGCACCTGCCTCCCCAGCCTGGCAGAGGCCAAAGGTCTCCAGGTAACTTTTATCCCAGACCCTGCGTTGTCTCAACAGCTTGATGAAGCTGCTTTCATAGTGGGTGAGAACCCCCACAACTTCCATGTGCCTCAAGGTCAGCCCATCCTGGTCCATTTTCACCCTGCAGACGGGTCCTTCCAGCCCCCCGAGCGGGCAGGGGTGCAGGCTGGAGCTGGCCCAGCCTGTGCCCCCATCCCCAGCCAGCCCTGGGAGGCATCTTGCTCCTGGCCCCGGCTCAGACAAGAGGTGAGCAGCAGTCAACCTTGATCTTGCCACCGAACTCTTTCCTGGAAACCTGCATTTTCTCTCTTTCTCTCTTCTCCTTCAAGCCCCAGCTCTTCCGGAGGGCTCAGCTCCAGCCTGTTCCCTGGGGAATTCCTTTCCCCCACTCTCCCCTTGGTTGGAAGTGCTGCAGAGGGGTGCAACAGCACCAGGCACAGCGAAAGCACCCCAAGAACAGCCTTCATGTTCCCACTGCAGCTGCTCCCAGGGCAGTTGGAGCAGCTCACCCACCCCTCAGAGCACTTGGGTGGGAGGGGAGGACGGCGTCTCCCTTTTAAAAACCAGTGGCCTTGAGTTGACAATGCACAACACACCTCCCCTGAGAAACTCAGAGGCTGTCATGCCCAGGAGGAGGGAGGAATGTTTCAAAGAAACTTGGTGTTGTTTTTTTTTTGTTCTATTTTTGGGTTTGCATCTAGTATTGGATACATAAAAAAACAAATAAAGCATGAAAGATGTTTCTCTCGCTCTGCAGAGACGGCGCGTCCTTGACTTCAGATGTTTCCTGAAGGAGGATGGATGTCTGGCCTGGGATCTTCATGGGGACTGGCACATATCATTCCCATGAAATGCCAGGAGGGAAGAATAAGCCAGACAAGGAGGAGGGGGATAGAGACAGATAATGGACACAAACCAAGTAAATGCATGGAAGTGCTCTCCTGGCCTGGCTGGGAAGCCTCCCCCTCGGTTGGCACCTGCAGGGACTCACATCTCCTGCTGCTTCAGCCTGGGAAGGAGAATCTCCCGGGGTGCAGGAGCAGCCTGGGGACTTCAAACACTTCAGACCTGACCTCGAAAGTCTCACAACACACTTGTTATAAGGAGTTTTCCCTCTGTGAGATGCCAGTCCTCACTGGAACACTTGGCATTAGCAGTGCCAGCAACCTCATCCACCCCAGAGACACCTTCCCCCACCCCAGGGAACTCACTTCTTGGCAATGGAGGGCAGGGGGGGAGGTACCTGCAGAAACCAGTCCCAACACACGCTCAGACCCTTCTCTGGGTTTCCAAGACTTTGCAGTTGGGAGCTCAGAATCCAGCTGCAGCAGAGACCATAATGGGCCTGCACACCCAGACTGGAGAGGGACAAAGGGCACCACAGCACGGGGCTGGGGACTGCAGAGGCCTCTTCCACAGGGGCTGTGACAAAGGGGGGATGGCAAAGAGGGGACCCAGACAAGTTGGCCCAGGCATCAGACTCACCAGACACCTCAGCCAGAGCCCTGGATCTGCTGGAACACTGAGTGTGGTGCCCAAGAACAGCCCAGCCAGTGAGGGATGGACACTCTAGGTGGGACTGAGGGCACCTGTGCCAGGCCAGCAGAAGAGCTGGATACTGTCCCCATCAAAGGGACAGCAGCTGCAGGGCTGTGCCCAGCTGTGTCTCCCTTATGAGCCCCAAAACAAGCCAGGCACTGGCCAGGAGCAGGCAGGAGCAAGCCAGGGTCAGGCAGCCCAGCCCCCAGTGATGCCTTCACCCACCAGCACCCGGGTACCCCAGACTGAGACATCCCAGAGCAAGGAAATGGACCCTGGGAGGATACAGAGGAAAAATCTCAGAGCTTCTGGTTTTTAATGGGAACCAAACGATTGTTTGAAAGCAACACTCAGCATAAATAGAAGCCCAGAGAAGGAACAGCTAGCCAAAACTAGTCTGCTGGTGGGAGGATAGACACAATCCAAACCCTACGTGACAGCAGGTGCTTCCCAACTCTAGAGACAACGCTGGATGAATTATAAACTAAGATTTACTATCATTTCAGCTTCAGTAGTTTCTTCTGACTAAACATTCCCAGAGATCTCTGCCACTGCCCCAGACCAGCACTCCTCTGCTTTGTCTGTGAGCTCATGTTTGGTGTCAACAGTCCAGCAGGCAGAGGCCAGGCAGCTGCGTTCTGGGGCAGGAGGATTCCTTCCTAAATTGTCAGTGAAATCTTGTCTGACTCTTCTCAAGGACTCCTGAGCAGCCTTCCAACCTGATTTCCTCAGCAGAGATGTTTCCAGCTTTTAGCTGGCAGCACCTGAGCTACAGCACAGGGCTCTGGCACCAGGAGAAAGGAGGAATCTGCTGCTGTGACTGTAATTCAGCAGCAAGTCAGACAAAAAAACAGATTTACAATATTCTGCTCCCCCTCCATTCTGCCCACTGCTGATTACTGGGGATGCAGGAACAGAATCCATTCCATGTTTCCATGACAAGTCTCCCCATCACCAAGTGAACAGCTCAATAAAGGATTTGAGTTGAATAGCAGCTGATTAGCTGGCTAGTAATTGGTGGGTTACACGTCAACATGTAAAGCCAACACAGCTGAGCTGAGGCTGATGGAGCTGCTCAGTCAGGAGGAGCTGGGGTGCCTACAGATTTCCAGTCCTTTCCCCTCCTCTTTGGAGAACTTCCAAAATGTAACCAGACTGGGAATATTTTCTACATCTAAGAGCTAAAGAAAGTTGAGCACAGGGCAACACTTTTAACTAAAGACACAGGAAAATGTAGAGAAAGGAGAACTAAAAACCTTTTAATGAACCTACAGGATTTAGGCAACTTCACAGGTGTACAAAACAGAACTATTGCTCTGGATCAGTTTGGATCTGCATATAAAAAGAATGGAGCTAAAGGAATCCAGCAGGACAGAGTCCAGGAGGGGCTTTAGTTGGAGGGAGGGGGAGGTGGGATAGTGCCTGGCCCCTCCGTAGGGAGAGGTGGCCTCATCATGGGGGGCAGAGGAGCAGGAGGGGGGACACCGGGTGCTGGTGGCAGCTGTGGTGGCACCGGGGGTGGTGGCACTGGTCCAGAGGGAGGCATGGGAGGCAGGGTCATGCCTCCTGGTGGGGGTGGTGGCAGAGTGTCCGGCAGGGGGG